TCAAACTGTCTTTTTTTTTTTAAATGGCTCGTTCACTGGACCCCACGTCGAAGAGCTCCGGCTAAATAAAGTATTGGTACAGTACAGTTTTCATAAACAAGAGCCTATATACAGTATGTGACATGTTTATGTGTTTATATGTTTTATTTCTATACTTTGACCAGAATGTATTAACTGAGTTGCCATGTTGTCATGGAAAGGGCCTTATAACAGTATTAACTATCTTTATTATGAATGAATCATGAGCACAAGCTTTTTCATGTTCTTTATAAGCCAAAATGTTCTTTTACTCTGTTTCAAGAGCGTCTCGGAAAGCCATACAGCCACAGTCGTGCTTTTTGTTGTCGTCCTATGATGCTCACACACAGGTGAAACTAAGTTCATGAATGAAGTCTCAGGCTCGTTGTGTGTCGCTGCAGCGAGACAGCATGTACGACAGAAAGCCCCGGAGCTCTCTCTCCTAAATGTCATGCAGTCATTATTAATGTCTGTTTTCCTGCAATGACATGCCAACATGTCTGCTGTGAAAAAGGCCTTGTTGGTAAAATGCTGCGGGGAATTATGTACTAATAGGAATCAAAATGTCCGTCTGTTGTTTTGATTTGACTGCGTCTGCCCCTCGGTCACTTCTCACTTTATTCAGCAGACATTTTGACTTGTCCTTTGACCTGAAATAAAAGAATCTAAATTGAATTTAGCCATCGTATATTTTGGTGTGAAACTAGATTACTGCAGCCCTCGCTAATTTGACTAACAACACCTTTGCCTTTCCTAATGTTACCTGTCAAAATGTCTTCTGTAGAGAAAGGAACATTTGTCAACATGAACATCCGCTCGGCCAACGTTGACCCAAGGTGAACTCTAAATTGTGATTCTGCAGGAGCAGGCTGGAGATTGTCCTGAAACAGGAAGTGCGCATTAGCATTTAAAAACATTTATCATTTAAATCGTACTGTCTTTAGTAGAAGTGAGAAACTAAGTGGAAATGTCCAGTAATGCGACAATAACTTAACAAGTGCAACAACGTTTACAGAGTGAAACAGAAATGTATGTTCAGCATTGTGAGACTGACCGTTGAGCGTCCCGACCAAGCAAGGAGGCAGAGGCAGAACGTCCAAATGCAACCCGGTGTGGGCATTTATTCAAATCATGGGCACATGATTCACAGCCTCAATTGCTGTCCACCTGAACACAGTCAGACGCAACAAGGATCTCACACACACTACCTCTCCACTGACAGGGAGAACAGAGCCTAAATACACACACACTAATCAACCAACAAGACACAGGTGGGGGGCGGGAGACAACATAGGGCACCAGGTGAACACAATCACCAGCCACAGACAAAACGAGAGGGGAAACACTTTCAAACTAAACTACATTTGCAATATTACAAGGCCCGAAGCCGTCAGTCGACAGTGACGAAGTTACCTTTGTCACAAGCATCACTGTACTCACCCACAATATCCTGAGAGGAGTTTTCAAGGAGCAAAATAAGTTTTGGCTTCTATGTCTTTTTAATGAATTGTTCTTGACAGAAACACAAGGTCAAGAAAAGATGTGTAGCTTAATTAATAATTAGCCAGTAAAAACACATCAGTGGTGCTAAAACACTCTAAACTTAATCTAATTAATGCGTAAATATGTGATGGTGGATGTTATTAACGTGCATTGGCTTTCAATGTTGTAGCTGCAAGGAATTGTGGGACCTTACCTTATGCTAAAGGAGAAAAGAAAAGAAAGCGCTGAAACACCTTCACTTACATTAGGAGAATGGACCAGCCCTTATCATGGCACTGAGATACTTCAGGGTCACTCACAAACCTTCTTAAAAACACACCGCAGGCCATAACGGTTCACTTTTGGTGTGTTGGGCTTAAATGCAGCAGTTTGATTCCTATTATAGTCAAATCCTGCTTCCAGCTACTGTGTGCTGACTAATACTAAATGCATCCATATGACTCATCGGTGCCCATGTGTTATGATGCAGTCGCCCTCTGTTGGAGATACAATACATGCATCTCAGCTTTATTCTAATTAGAAGAGATAGATATTCTCTTGAAATGTATTGTATTACAATAATTACCATAAATCCTTCACATAAGCAACATATGAAATGCACTTCATAGTAGACATGGCTTCCCTTTACCAAGTCAAAACAGACCACTGGTGTTAAAGCCATAAAAAAAAGCGAGTAGACTTGTTAAAGCACATGTTTCAAACTCAAGGCCCGGGGGCCAAATCAGGCCCTTGGTGGATTTAATTTCGGCCCGCAGGATAATTTCTAATTACTATTAGATCTGGCCCGCCGGTATATTACACGCACACCTTCACTCCATCCTGAGGGTTTCCTCCGCTCAGAGCCTGAGCCCAAACATTGATGAACTTGCACCCGAGATGAGATGCCAAGTATCTGCTTGAACTAGCATCACAGAGCAGCAACCTGAGTTTAATGGATGTTTCCTTCTGCACTTTTTCTCTCACGACAACAGGGCATGTTGGGTTTTTTCTTTGAGGGAAATGTTTTGTTGAAGCTGTTGTTGGCCTGTGGGAAAAATGTAATCATAAGAAATGACTGAGGAAAAGCTGCAGATAGAGCCATAAGAAATGAATGCAGCTGATTATTTAATGTTGTTTTTATAGGCAATCATTTAAGCTTTGTTAGTTCCAGGTTTAATATGTGCAATAAGTTCATTTCAATAAGTCTTGCAATAAATATTGAGCCAGTCTGGCCCTCCACTAGTACCCATGTTTTTATTTTGGCCCACTGTGTATTTCAGTTTGACCCCCCTGTGTTAGAGGAAGAGAGAGGAAATATTTATAATCATACTAATCAAAATATATTTTCTGTATGTAGCTTTTTTATGTTTCATAAAGTTCCATGGTTTCTCTGTAGGCATCCTTATCATAAGACATGTTTTTGAACCCTGTGTTATGAATAAGACCTTTGAAATGATGCAAAAGCTATAGGAGCTGCTTTACCCTTGAGTGTTGGATTACATAAACCCTTTTTTCCCAAGGCAAGCTTTCATTTAGGTATTAGTTCTGTGTTAGTAGTGTTTGCTAAATTGTAGAATATGGCTATGAGTGTCATTTTGAGACCACTTTTGTCATGTTCTTTTGTGTAGTTGTTTGGTTTTTATCTCATATACTATTCTCTGCATGTATCTCCGTTTGGGAACGTGTGTAATAGCATTGCTGTTTATTGCTCCACCAATAACAGCCCTGCTTCACCAGCAGATGGAGCTCTTTGTTTATACATGGGGGCGTGTGGCGGAGTAGGCTGTGCGTTGGTGTTCGGATCAGGGGGTCACAGGTTCAAACCCCACTGCAGTCAGCCACAGTATTGAGTATGTAAGTCGCTTTGGATTAAAGCGTCTAACAAGTGACATGTAATAGATTGCTGATGTCATTTGTGAACTGTGACCTTTGGATCTGGAGAATGATTGTCGTTAGTATTAAACTACTGACGGTTCATTCCTGCCGTCATTGATTGATTGAAATGTGGGCTGGGCGTTGCTCCGGTGTTTGCAGAAGTCAGAGTCTCCTCAGTGGAGGTAGATTAACAGGTTTGTCTGTAAGCACAACAATGAAAGCGATCACTCGACCTTCACTGCCGTCTCCTTGGAAACACGGCAGATGTGAGATGTAGCTCTAGTTGTCAAATCATGTCAGTCTGTGTTATCATCATTCTGAGCATCACCTTTCCTCTCTACGAAGAAATGTACACGTGTGAACTGACTACAGAGATGTTTCTGCTTTGTTCTGTTTCGTTGTGGCTCTGCACCACATTGTCACAAATATAGTACTGAAGTATAATTTAGTATTGACATGTTACGGTAGCCCTTCTTCTTGTCTGACAGCTTTTGATTGGCTGTTTAATTAAGTAAGAGCCGGGCTTTCCCCCCTGGGTTTTCTGTCTTTAATCTTATTTAGTATGTAGATGTCAATCCTCACGTCTGTCAGCTTTAGAGCAAAATGGTGCGTTTCTTCAAAATGTCAGAAATGTCAGAGCGATAAACAATATAACAATAAAAGGCCTTTTCCATTACGGTGGCACTTGGGGAAGAATATGAATTATCCAGCTTCAGCTCTTGCATACTTGGAGTTTATTTATTCATGAAAGCCTTCGTATATCACTTTTACGGTTAGCCGCCTTAATTCAGAGGATATGATATGGCTGCACTGCTTCCAAAAAAATATGTAGAAGTTTGCAGGAGAAATCTTTTTGGGATGGAATGAAAATATATTTACAGAGATGTTTTAAAGGGACCCTGTTTTGCTAAATGTTTATTTCATATTTGTATTTTGTGCCTCTACTGTGACATGTCTCCATGCTTTAATGTTCAAAAAGCTCTTTATTGTGCTCATACTGCCTGTGCTGCAGCACCTCTTTTCACCCTCTGTCTGAAACCAGAGCCCAGTCTGCTCTGATTGGCTAGCTGGCCAGCTCTGTTGTGATTGGTCAACCGCTTAGAGATGTCCCGCCCCTTAGCCTATCACATACAATGTGTTGGAGCGCTAGCAAATTGAAGCGTAAGTGTTACATAGTGATGGCACTTTTGTTACGGAAGTAAACCAAGGAGTCCAATGGAGACATTTCAGGCAGTGTGTGGGAGAGAAACTCCCTCTGGAGGGAACACAGGGAATTGTGCCTTTGCAGACCATTTACATGCACTAAAACCTACCAACTCTGTGTATTATATTATATATTAAGAGAGAGAGAGAGAGAGAGAGAGAGAGAGAGAGAGAGAGAGAGAGAGAGAGAGAGAGTAGAGAGAGAGAGAGAGAGAGAGAGAGAGAGAGAGAGTATCAGAGAGGAGAGAGAGAGAGAGAGAGAGAGAGAGAGAGTAGAGAGAGAGAGAGAGAGAGAGAGAGAGAGAGAGAGAGAGAGAGAGAGAGAGAGAGAGAGAGAGAGGAGAGAGAGAGACACCTCATCACGACACTGAATAGAACGCTGAGTCATGTAAGACGAGAGAAGAAAAAAAAGGCACCTCACAGAATTTAAAATATTAATCAGGCAGGGGCATTTTTTGAACATAATGGGCCAGAGTAGCCCATGATAGTTTCAGAGCTGGGTTGTTGGCTGGCTGTGAGTTTTAGGTGCAGGCGGATACAGTAAGCTGTGTGAGAGTTAAAACGAGATTTCACGATGTTAATGTGACGAGGCAGAGCGAAGATGACAAGCGTGAAGGGGCTGAGTGATAACGTGGCAAAAGATGGGAGAGGCTGTGTCATTGTCAGAGGGATTTAGAAATGCATATGTGGACATAGTGTGTGTGTGTGTGCACAGGGAGAGAGAAAGAGAGGCTGGTGCAGGAGGAGAGGCGAATAAAACCCCACGCCCCTCTCTGCCAGCATCCATTTACCGAGCAGCTGATGTCTGCTGCTCCACTGGATGCGTATAGACTCAGCAGTAACAGGAGGAAGGAGAAAACCCTCTCTGCTCTGGGGATCCCGTGGATTTGGATTACAGGAGGCAAAGTATTTCAACCGTGGAGGAGAAGAGGAGCTTTTTGCAAGAAATGTCCACGTTGGATCAACTTCACCTCGGAGGAGTATTTCTAACACAGAATCTAACTGTGAAGGCTGTCTGAGGAGAACCATCCAGTGGATTAACACTGAGGAGTGCCTTTTAGAAAACGGCCATCTCTCCACTTTGTCTACCTGGGATTCTACAGGTTGCTTTCTCTAAAGTTTCCACCATGACGGCCATGCAGAGGCTGTTGCTGCAGCTGCCGGTGAGCGCGGTGAACATGGTGAAGACGGTGCAGAGCCAGGTGCAGGGCCAGGAGGAGGACAAGAGCCCCGTGCTGACCCCCGACGGGGTGCACCAGGCCTGGTACAGCGCCCTGCAGCCCGACGAGCTGCGACACCTCCGCTCCGGGGGGTCGGGAGGTGGAGGTGGAGGAAGAGGAGGAGGAGGAGGAGGAGGGGACCATGAGGAACACTCATCACTGGAGGAAGGTGGTGGAGGTGGAAGCATTTTTCAAAGTCAACCTTTGCGGTAGGAAAATCCAGGAGAATCTCTTTGGCACTATGCTTACGTTTAAAGACTGTTTTTATTTTGAGTACATTTCACTCAATTTACCCACTAGTTGTTGGACTATAAATTGTCAGAAATACGTCAAATGCCGGTCAGTTTCAAAATGTCCAAGGCAACATTTTCAGCCTGAAACCAATAGACATTTAAGTCATAAAATCGTGTTATTTCAGAAGCAGGAAATGTTCAGTATTCTATCTGACAAACACAAACAATTCGTTTCTTATCAAAATGTTTGGGCCATATGAAAAATCTTTTCAGATCTAGTGTGAAGATAAATGAACATACATCATTGACATAAGCAACATGGGAAATCGGTTCCCATCAGACATGGCTTCACTTTTACAAGTCAAAAAAGACTGGAACCACTTGTGAGCCGTTACAAAGGTGTAGGCTTGTTAAAGAAAGAGAGAGGACATGTTTGCTATTATACAGTTTACCTTTTTATAGAAATGATATATACCGTACGTAAGGAAGCTTCATTATGTTTCATAAAGATCCATAGCTTCTCATCCCTTTCATAAGACAATAAGACATGTTATTAAGCTCTGTTATGAGTCAGACCTTTGAGTCATGCCAAGGCTATAGGAGCTGCTGTACCCTTGAATTAATTGGAGCGCAAACCTTTCAAATGAACATCAAAAGTGGAGCTGTACAGAAATAGATTTGCTTATACAGAGCTCTAATTACACTTGGATTTTATTCTAATTTAACAGGAAAAGAGCTTTACTGAAGCCCAGTTCTGTTTGGTTTAAGCAGGAATATTTTATACAAGAAACTGTAAAGTCCCTGCTGATAGAGTTGCATTATGTAAAGCAGTGTACTAGTCGTGCAGAGCTCTGTTCCAGCTCAACTGCGTGTGAAGTTGTTTTATTGAACATTTGGAGGCTCTTCTTCCATGGAGACTTTCCATCCGGAGAGTGCTGCTGATCTCTTGGCTGTAGAGCCAGGTAACCCGACCGCCGTCATGCTCGTCGTACCACAGAGGGTTCAATAATTCAGAGCTGATTGTGAATTCAGCCGTTGTTCGAGACCAGATCCTGAGAAATGAGAGAACCGCTGTTGGTGTAGAATTACTGTGGGCATGAAGTTTGAACCCAGAGAGTCGTTTTTCCCACCTGTGCTCAGCATGAGGCTTTCTTTCTGAGATCATTCACTGAGGTGGCATTTATAGGTGCAGACTGGAACATACCCAGGGGGGCTGTGTGTCCTGCGGTCCATTCATAACTTTTCAATCTTCTTTCTTTTGGCCACTTTTCATGTTTCAGCTTTTAGTGTGACATTTAGTGCGAAAGAGATGTTTTCTTTCATTATATTCATCTACCTCTTACTTAAAGGGGCCCTTCTATGCTTTTGGGGGTTTACCATTTCCTGTAGTGTGATATATAGGTGCATGTAAATGGTCTGCAAAGGCCCCCTCCAGGGCGAGTTTCTCTTCCGCACTCCCCCCCCCCCCCCCCGCTTGAAATACTTCCATTGGATACCTTTGTTTACTTCCTTAACATAGTGACATCACTAACACTCGCCCTTCTTTTCGATTGTGTACCATCAATCAATCAATCAATGTTTATTTATATAGCCCAATATCACAAATGTTACATTTGTCTCAGTGGACTTCACAGTTTGTACAAAATATCAGTATGACAATACGACACCCTCTGTCCTTAGACTCTCACATCGTACAAGGAAAAACTTCCGAAGAAAACCCACAGTTTAAAGGGAAAAATGGGAGAAACCTCAGGGAGAGCAACAGAGGAGGGATCCCTCTCCCAGGACAGACAGACGTGCAATAGATGCCGTGTGTAAATTGAAAAGATAATACATTTGCAACATAGGTAGTCCAAATGTTTGGAAATGCATGTGTGTATAATAGGAAGATGAATCCACCAGGATATCCATCCAGGACCTATGATCCAGGACCACAGCCACGACTCAAGATCCAGGGCTCGCGATCCAGGACAGAGGAGCGCAGGATCATCCATGACTCCGGATCCCGGCGTATATAGACACCAAAAAGAAAGAAATGTGGGGAAGCTGGGTTAATCGGAACATGAGAGTACACAGGTACAGACAGAGAGAAGGAAGAAGTAAGGTGTCCCCTGACAAACTAAGCCTCTAGCAGCAAAACTAGGGGCTGAATCTAATCAGCCCTAACTATAAGCTTTATCAAAAAGGAAGGTCTTAAGCGCACTCTTAAAAACGGATAGGGTGTCTGCCGCCCGAATCTCATTATACGTGAGGCTAAGGGGCGGGACATCTCTAAGCGGTTGACCAATCACAACAGAGCCGGACAGCAAACCAATCAGAGCAGACTGGGCTCTGGTTTCAGACAGAGGGTGAAAAGAGGTGCTGCAGCACAGGCAGTATGAGGAAAGTAAAGAGCTTTGTGAACATTAGAGCATGGAGACACGTCCCAGTAGAGGCACAACATACTGATATACACCTGATAACGAGCAGAATATGTCCTCTTTTGAATTTGAATGCTTTTGCTCTGTTTTTAAGCAACCTTGTGTGCTACTACTACTAACACTACACGTTTAAATAACAATGCATGTGTTACTTGTGACTGCGGTAGCTGATAATTCCCCTTTCACAGCTTTCACATTTCGCCTGCGCTTTAGCAAATGTAATCAATGTGTTTTGTTTTGTTTTTTTTAATTAGATTTGTCATCAACACAAGCCACATGGATCCCTGTCACGTTATGAATTAGCGAGGCTGTTCATGGGGGGTAAATTGATATAAGCTGCCAAAGAAATGAAGATTCTGGTTGGTACGTTTCTTCACTCTCTCGTGACATTCTGGCAGGGACAATAATGCAAGTTTCATCCACAGCTCTTGGCTTTCAGCTGCAGGTTTGACTTGTAGAGGAAGACAGTGAGAGCTTAGAAAGAACAAGGTCAGAGCAGCGTTATGTGGCTGCAGGAGGTTGTTGTCGATAGAAAATGTGCTTCTTTTACCATTTGATTCTCCCCTGTATGAAGCTCAGACGGCAAATGTAATGCATCAAGTAAATGGTGTTTATTTTTTAGACATGGTATTGGCGTAAACATTTGAACACGGATGGATGGTGTGTCAGGGCTTTGCTGATCCCATGTTTTTCCTCTAGTGTCACAAAGGTTGACATTTTTAGTGTTTATTTGTAAAGTTTCACAGCAACTATTTGGTTAATTGTCATGAAACTTGGTACATGTGTTGCAGGAACATCTTCAGTTAAATATTGTACTTTTTATGACCGAATGCTCGAACTAACTAATGAAATCAGCGTTAGTGTTACTCATACTCGTGTATGCGCTTCAATGCTTTGGGCAATAATTACACACATTTTGTCAAAGTGAATTTGTTTTGCAATACAGCCACATATTTGTAACTCGTTGGCTCACCGCACACGCCTAAAAATAAACCGTCACAAATGAATTTGATAGATACTGTCAGGTTTTAATTCGACAGTCTTTGATGAGTTTAGGTTTTGAAGCGTGTGAAAGAGAGAACCTTGTTCATGCTTCATTTAGGCGAACTGAAATCCTTCTTAGCTAACACACACACACACACACACACACACACACACACACACACACACACACACACACACACACACACACACACACACACACACACACACACACACACACACACACACACACACACACACACATTGTGAGTCGTGTTAAATGTTCTGTTCTGCATTGGCCACCGTCACACCCCAAACAGATGAAATATGTCTTTTACTCCAACAGCCTCCCCCTCACACAGGATTGATGTAGAACTTCTAAACACAGTCGGATCAAATAGTTTGGGAAGTCTTTTGAAGTCATGGTTTCAGTGTTTTCAAAAGTATATGTGGCATTCACTGCATGTCGAGCAAAAGCATAAATAGCTCAAAAAGAAAAATACAACGTTGAAATCCAATTCCAATCTGAATGGATTTACATAACTCTGAAGATCTGACAGCACTTAACGGCTGCAACATATTTTGAATCTGTTATTTAACTCTAACTAAAATAAATGGTTCAGTTGTTTTACATTTGAATTGAATTGAATTGATTTATTTAAAACAAGGGACAGTGTACATTAATCAACATATTAAAAACATGTAAAAGTACTCGAATTAGCCAAAAGGCTAGTTTTCATCGATAGTCCCTTTGCCAGATGGTGATAGACATCCTAAAAGCAATAATACAAATACCACAACATTGTTATACCATTGTACATATTTACAATAGATGACATCACTGAATACAGATAAGAGCAAGTCATGATAATAAATAAATAAATAAAACATTTACAATACACACTCATACACACACCCACACATCAGTGCTGACACTGTTGGTTTTCAATGAGCCACTTTTTAATACTGTGCTTGAATGTGTAGTAGGATGAGGACTCTCTTATTGGTTGTGGTATTGAATTCCATTGATGGGATGCGTGGAATGAGAAGACAGCCTGGCTGAATGCGCTTTTCCTCAATGGGATGGTGCGGTCTCCCCTAGCCGCACCTCTAGTAGCCCTGGTTGAGGTGGACTTTAGGCTGATGAAGCCAGCCAGAGGAGGAGGAGCCAACCCACGAGTGAAACTAAGCAGATGTTTTTGTAAACTATGAGATTTTCCCAGTTGAACAGATTATATTTTTTAACAATGTGACAATGATGATACCGGAATGGCTTTTTGTCTCGTGTTTTGAGTGCTTGTTTATACAGTGATTCCAGTGGTTTTAGAGCTGTAGAGTGTGCATTATCAGACAGTGGGTCTGGTGGCGACTTGTCTCCCCCCCGTGAAAAGACGTGACAAGACTTGGCTTGGCAACTGGAAGGTCACCAGTTCAAGTCCCGGCAAGACCAAGTGCTACCGAGGTGTCCCTGAGCAAGGCACCGTTCCCCACACTGCTCCCCGGGCGCCGTTCAAAATGGCAGCACACTGCTCCTAACACTAGGATGGGTCAAATGCAGAGAAACCATTTCCCCAC